CCAGCCCCACACTCTGCCCCACCCGAGGACATGCCCTTATTCTATCATCCCAGACTGCAACCACTACATCTACGACAATCTAGAGAAGACTCGCTAGTGCACAACAGACATAAATCAAACTAGAAGGAAACAAGTGGTAACTAGTATCCTAGTTGAAAGGTTTAACTATTGCGAAGTAAAGTAACAGTAATTTAGCTAACACCAAAAGGGAAACAGTAAAACAGGAGGTACCAACTCCCGATAACAAAACCTGTGGCTGATTTGCTGTACTCGATGTAGTTATACGCTCACGCACTACTTTCTACCGCCCTTTGCTGACACTCGCCCAGGTTGCTCTCCTTTGCCAGTGCTCGTGCGCCCAACTTGTCTCCAATACTCCGAGAATTCCTAAAAATACAGAAAACACCATGACCCAAAAACCAGAAGGAGGTATCACCGCTACCACCAAGAAAAGATAGTCGATTTTCTCCCAATCCCTATCGCTTTTAGATTCTTCTTATTCTCTTACTTTTCTTTCTTTCTTTCTTGTTTTTGTGGAGAAAATTGCTGCTGAACAGCTTTTCGAGCTATGAGAAAACTAGAAGCCCAACTTCTTGCTAATGTAATTAGTAAAAAAAGCAAATCTGAAACACAATATAATAAAAAAAGCAAAAACCAAATCAGACCCCTCATCTCCCTTTTTAGTCAGATTTGGGCAAATCTGAAGGTTTCAAGCTGGAACCAACCGATTTAAATGGTGGTCGTCAGTGTTTCCCTTTTTTTTTTCGGCGAATCCGACCAGGTTTGATGGCAAAGCAGAGGTAGACGAGAGGGGACGAGGGAGCGCTCTCTTTCTTATCTATTCAATTAATAATGAAGAAGAGATTCATAACTCTCGAGAGGGGACGAGAGTTGTTCCATAACTCTTTCATCCATGCGAAGATACGATCACGATGATCATTCATGTCAACACTCTTAAGTTTATCCTACAATAATCAAAACATGGGTTGAGTTAATGAATTAGTTTAGTTTTAGTAACTACTCATAATCCTGTGTTAGTAGCAACTCTCCAGCAGTTATACAGCAATTAACATATAATATAGTTTCAGCTGTTATTTCAAACTCTACAACAATTAACAATTGAATCAGTTAACATTCTCCAAAAATTATATTCATGGAATATTGTTCATGGAGCCAAGCTATGAGCATTTGTGTCAAGCTAGGAATATTGTTTTGGATTCAAAATACGGGCACAATGGACTTTCAAAGGAAGAAATACCAATCACATTTGCATTGCTGGTCATGGAAACTTGGTGTATATGTTGAGATATCAAGGGTACAAGCAAAGATCACCTCCGAAATTTGGAGGACAAGCACCACACGCAACAGAAATATCATGTCAATATCTTCATATTCGTTTGATTCTACGAGGCCAGCTCTATTGCCATATGTCTATAGAGATACATTGAGCTACTTAATAATACAATTGGAGGATATGCTGGAACAAAAATGGAAAGACATCAAGCAAGGGAAGCTGCCCATTTCGTACTTCTGGACAGAGACCATGTATGCACTTCTTACACAGAGAATGCTGTGACTGAATCTATTTCTAAATAAGGGTAAAACAACAATGTGTTTCTACATAGAGGCACAAACAGAAACACATGTATTCAACTAAATGATATGTGTTAGCGGAAATGTAAAAGAAAGAACACAAGATTTAACGTGGTTCAGATCAAAATAATCCTACGTCCACCAGAGAATATTTGACTTTTTATTATTAACAAAGGAAGGGGAGAATTCCCAATTATACTTAAGAGAATTTCTCTCTTAACTCTCTACTCACTACAATGTATTGTATTATTTTTGGGATGGTTTCTACAAATGAAGGAGTGCATCTATTTATCGAGGTAAAGACCTCCTCTTGATGTCATTGCTGACATCAAACTACCTCCCATGACATCAAATGAGGAAACTTCCTCCTAGCATCCACACCAACTCTTTCCACCAACTCTTCCAATTAGCATGCCATTGTTGACTAAACATAAACCAACACTTCCAATCTCCACCTTGGTTTGCGTTTCGAGCGTGCGTGTGAATAACTTTGGCCAAAACTTCTAAGCTTACTAGGCAACCCCGCTGTAAGAAACAAGAAGAATCAAACCATTGTTGAAAATATCACCTCCACCTAACTACTATTCTCTTCGGAGTTGCATCAGTTGATGTACACCCCCGCCAAGTCCTTGTAGTGTGCAAACTTAGCGAGCGGGACTATCTTGGTCAACATGTCTGCAGCATTATCGTCTGTGATAACCTTCACGAGCTTGATAGTTCCCTCTTCAACAACATCTCGAATAAAATGAAACCTGACATCAATGTGTTTAGTGCACTCATGAAATCTCTGATTTTTCATTAGATGAATAGAACTCTCACTATCACATCTAAAAGTTGATTCCAACTTAACCAAACTCAATTCCGCTACTAAACCTTTCAACCAGATAGCTTCCTTCATCGCCTGCGCTGCTGCAATGTATTCTGCTTCTGTCGTAGATAAAGCGACAATCGACTGCAGAGTCGACTTCCAACTAACGACACTGCCAACGAGGGTAAAGATGTATCCAGTTGTGGAACTTCTTCTGTCAAGATCTCCTACATAGTCAGAATCTACATAACAGAGAATTGAAATACCTCCACTTTTTTGAAAGGTCAGACCAACACCAGAAGCTCCTTTGAGATATGTCAATATCCACTTGACAACTTCCCAATGCCTCTTTCCTGGGCTGGACATGTATCTACTTACCATACTTAGAGATTGAGAAATATTTGGACATGTGCATACCATAACATACATAATGCTACTGACTGCACTGGCATAAGGAATCTTTGACATATGCTCCACCTCATCCTCTAACTAAGGCATTTGTAACTTTGAAAATTTAAAATGAGGAGCTAATGGTATACTTACAGGCTTGCACTTATGCATATTGGTACTTTCAATATACCTCTTCTGAGAAAGATGTACAACACTGTCTTCTCTTGAAATCTCCATACCAAGGATTTTCTTTGTAGCTCCTAAATCCTTCATGTCAAATTCCTTAGTCAACGGTTTCTTCAAAGCATTTATCTCTGTAATGTTGTTAGCAACAATAAGCATATCATCAACATACAACAGAAAATAAATCATTGAGTTACCAGATATCTTCTTGTGATACACACAACTATCAAATGCACTCCTTCAGAATTCATGTGTAGTCATGAATGCATGAAACCTCTTGTACCACTATCTAGAGGATTGCTTCAAACCATACAAAGACTTCTTTAGTTGGCATACATGGTCTTCTTTTCCCTCAGCTAGGAAACCTTCAAGCTGATCCATATCGATTGTCTCTTCTAGATCACCGTGTAAGAAAGTAGTTTTGACATCAAGCTATTGAAGCTCCAAGTCAAATTGGGCAACTAATACTAGTAGCACTCGAATTGAGCTATGCTTCACAACTGGAGAGAAAATTTCATTGTAGTCAATTCCCTCCTTCTGACTGAAACCTTTTGCAACCAATATCGCCTTGAACCTAACATCTTCTACTTCAGGAATTCCCTCTTTCTTTCGGTAGACCCACTTGCATCTAACTGTCCTCTTCCCCTTTTGTCTTTTCACTAAGACCCATGTCTGATTCTTATGAAGAGACTCCATCTCTTCAGTCATGGCTAACCACCATTGTATAGCATCCTTGCAAGAAGTTTCTTCAATATACGAGGAGGGCTCAAGATCCTTAATCTCTTCTTGTGCAGCTACGAACTCATATGCAATCAAGTTTGCTTGATCTATAAGGCTTTCCGGTTCTCGTGTCTACCTCTTCTCCCTCCCCTTGGCAATTGTGTATGGTTCATTGACAGCAAGTTCTTCAAGGTCTACATCTTCTGACTCATCTTTAACCTGAGTCTCTTGATCATTTTCCTTGGCAAGCTCCACCGGAAGCTCCACCTGCTCGTCGTTCTTATTTCCTGAAAACTCCACGGAAATTTTATGGGGATAAAATATAGAGGATTCATTGAAGGTGACATCTCTACTAACTATAAATTTGAGTAAAGACAAACACCAAAATTTTTACCCTTTTACTCCATCCACATACCCTACGAATATGGCCTTCTTAGCCCTTGGTTCAAGCTTTCGTTCATTAACGTGATAATAAGTTGGACACCCAAATACTCGTAAGTATGAATAGTTAGAGGATTCACCTGACCATACCTCATTCGGAGTCTTAAAGTCAATTGCCAATGCTGGCAATCAATTGACAATATGAGCAGCAGTGTGAACTGCTTCAACCCAAAATACTTTGGACATTTTGGCTTGTAGGAGCATACAACGAGCCTTTTCAAGAAGAGTTCTGTTCATTCTCTCGAAAACTCCATTCTACTGTGGGGTATGACTGACAGTCCTATGTCTTGAGATCCCATGAACCTTGCAGAATTCACTAAAATCTTCATTGCAAAACTCCAAGCCATTGTCTGTGCGAAGATACTTGATTTTCCGCTCCATTTGATTTTCAACCAAAATATTCCACTCTTTAAATGCTTCAAAAACATCACTTTTTGCCTTCAAAAAATGCACCCAAACCTTTCATGAGAAATCATCAATAAAAGTGAGAAGATACCTCTTTCTGCCCTTCCATGGAAGTTTAGTGGGACCCCCTAAATCTGAATGGATGTAGTCTAGCACTCCTCTTGTCTTGTGTTTGCTAGTGCTGAAGCTGACTTCTTCTGCTTCCCTAGAATGTAGTTCTCACAGAAGTCAAGTGTGCTTACTTCTCACCTTCCAAAAGGTTATGATTACTCAACATCTCTAGTCTACGTGCGCTTATATGACCTAGTCTAATGTGCCGTAATCTTGCCTTGTCATCATTAGATAACTGCACTATAGATGCATTTGCAAAGCCAACAATGGTGCTTCTGGCCAATGTGTAAAGGCCGTTCTCCAGCCTTTCAGCATGACTAAAAAACCTTTAGTCACCTTTATAGTTCCTGCTTCGCTCATGTACCTATAGCCTTGTTATCCAGAGTACTCAAGGAGATCAAATTCTTCTTACAATCAGGAACATAACGGACTTGTGTATTAGTCCTCACGACTCCATCATGGCAGCGAACCTGAACTGAGCCAATGCCAACTATTGCACAAGTTGCATTACTGCCCATTACTACGGTTCCTCCACTTTTCTCATAGCTGCTAAACCAATCTTTTCGGAACGTCATATGCAGAGTACAAGCAGAGTCTACCACCCATTTGTTTTCATAACTACTATTATTATTACACGATGTTGTTAGTACATAATCATTATCAAAATCATGTACCTGTTCAACTGTAGATGCACTCGCCTTTTCCTTAGACTTTAACATTGGGAAATCTCGTTCAAAGTGCTCCTTCTTGCCACAACCCCAACACTGTGTATTCTTCTTGTTCACACGAGACTTTGATCTGTGATTTGATTTGCTCTTTCCCTGTTGGCTAGTCTGGCCTCTCACAAAGAGCCCACTTGCCTAGTCATCTCTATCTGCTTCAATGTGCCTCCGCACATCACTAGAGTTAAGTGCCTACCGCACTTGCTCAAGCTTCATAGGCTCCTTTCTATACATCATTGAATTCTCAATATCACGATATCCTACAGTCAATGAAAATAGCAAAGCACATGCAAGCGTCTCCTCCTCCTTTTTAATTTCTGCAATCTGTAAGTCCATGACAAGTTTATTGAACGCATCTAAATAATCTTGTAACGAAGTACCTGACCCCATCTTAAATGTGTGAAGACGCCATTGTAAAAACATCCTTGTTGTCATTGATCGGTCTTGGTATAGCCCTTCTAGCTTTTCCCATAACTGTTTGGCTGTCTCTTCGGTACTCATACTCACTTTAAAGCACGTTAGGTGCAAGGGATAGTTGGATTGCACTCAATGCATCCCCTTCAATCTTCTCCTTGTCAGAAGTTGATATATCCTTAGGATACTTTCCGTCAATAGCATGGATTGAACCTTCCATCCGTAGTAACACCATCATCTAGAACTTCCAGATATTGAAGTTGTTGCGTCCACTAAATCTATCAATTTCAAACATCATGGAAATCATCTTTGCTTGTTATTCCTCCTTGATCGTTAAAGAATCATGTTGCTCTGATACCAATAATTAGCGAAAACGTAAAAGAAAGAACATAAGATTTAACGTGGTTCGGATCAAAATAATCCTAATTGTCATGCCATTATTGACTAAACATAAACCAACACTTTCAATATATATCTTCAGTGTATAAATATCTTGCTTACCTCAATAGCTGCCCACATGTGATTCAGATTTTCCTCCTTAATATCATTGCACGATAATACTCCCAACGGACACATATTACGGTCACGAACTATTCTTCCCATGTGCCTCGAAAACAGTTTGCTAGTTGTTCCAACTGTTTGATTATTGTAGAAGGTTACTTTCAGCTTTTGTCCAACTTCAAGTGATGCAACTTCTTTGCACTTGTTCCTCCCTCGAACTCTTTTTACCTTTCCAGGATTAGATGAAGAACTTACGGATGCATAATTTGGTAAAAACTATAGCAATAAAATTCAGTTCTACAAATTAATAACATATGGATTCAAAATATCATACCTGTTTCAGTTGCTTGGGAGTGTTGCATAACTTGATCAATAGATGGAGGCAATGAAATATTGGCTTGCATATGCTCTTTCTCAAGAACCAAGGAGTTTTTATCCATTGTTCGAATTTCTTGGTTGGAAGATATGGTAAAATTCGATCTTGTGCTTTTAGAAATACCTAAAGATGAGCACGAAGATCTAGGAGTTTTCTCCCATCCCTTCCCTATAGAACATGGAACAAAAAACCATTTTACTTTGGCATTTAATTTCAGTAATATATGCAGTTAAAAATACCACAGATTTGGAAAAACTTACTTGCTTCAACTTTTTGGGTGTATTGCTTAATTTGATTAGTAAATGGAGGCAATGGAATATCAATTAGCATATATTCTTTCTCAAGAACGATAGAGTCTTTATGTATCATTACCGACCCTTGACTAGCAGACATGGTTGAGCTTTTAAACCTTTGTCCTTGTCCCTTCCCAATAGCACCTGAAACGAAATCATATTACTAATATTTAAATATTAAAATTCAGTTGTACACATCAAAAATAGTAGATTTAAAATATCTTACTTGTTTCAATTGTTTGGATGTAGTGCTTAACAAGATCACTAGATTGAGTAAATAAACTCTTAAGTGGCATATTCTCTTTCTCAACCAAAGATCTAAGCCCTCATCCTCGTCCTTGTCCCTTTCTTATAGCACCCGGCGGGACGAACGCATATCTGGTTGTACTCTTCATATTTGATTCCACATTATTTTCAGTCTTTGATGGTTTCATATTGAACCTGCAAATAGCCAAAAGCAAAAATAGTAAGACAACGTATGACAATATAGTAATAAAAGAAATCATATCATCAGTATATGTAACAATGAATATACTAATAGAGCCTTTTGGACATACCCTATTACCAATCAGAGATTTCAAAAAATATAACCATCGTCCAACAAGATATATCCACCGATACTGAATAGGTCGAGCAATCTTAGCTTCACTGGCTAAATAAATAGGCAAGTGCACCATGACATCGAAAAATGAAGGAGGTTTTTCTAACTTGCAAAGTGTTATGGGAATTTGCGCTTCAATTTGTTTCAAGTCATCAATCCTTAACTCCTTTTATCCAAGCACATTAAAGAATAAAGATAACTCAATAGACGGTTCACACACTTCTTTGGATAAAAGACCACGAAGTGCAAGGGGGAGTATATATTGCAGAAGAACATGTCAATCATGACTTTTCAACCCAGATATCTTGTGATCTTTCAGGTTCAAACATTGAGAAATATTAGATGAAAACCATTCAGGAACCTTTAAATTCTTTAGGAATTGGCATAATTTGTGCTTACTTTCGGGGAGGAAATGTGTAACATGCATTTGGAACTTCAACTTTCTCCCCACTTTGGATAAGGTGCAATTTCGGCCTAATATTCATGTCTTGCAAGTCTAATCTAGTTTTAATTGTATCATTGGTCTTTCCTTTGACATTCATGATTTTTCCCATAATATTATCACATATATTCTTTTCAATATGCATAGCATCCAAATTATGTCGCAACAAAAGAAACTTCCAATATGGAAGTTCAAAAAAATACTTTTCTTGTTCCAGTTATCCTTTCGATTTTTATGTGATATCTTCTTCTTTTTCTTTGGATCCTTTGTTAAATGTATCCCTTGAAGATCTTGTACTTGATTAAGTATCTTAATACCAGACTTTATATTTTGGTGGGAGCCTTTTCTCTTTTGTACCATCAAATGAATCCTTGTCATTCCTCCATTTGTGGCTAAGAGGAAGGTAGCGTCGATGACCCATAAAGCATTGCTTCTTGCTATTAGCCAATCGAATTGAGGAGGTGTATTTATTGCAACATGGGCATGCCAATTTTCCATTTGTACTCCATCTAGATAAATTTCCTTAGGCTGAAAAGCCATTGATGGGCAATAACAAAGAAGCATGCAACTTAAAATTCTGTTTAGATGATGCATCAAAGGTCTCAATGCCAACTTCCCACAACTCCTTCAATTCTTCTATTAAAGGTTGAAGATATATATCAATTGCATCTCATGGACTATTTGGACCAAGAATAAGCATTGGCAAAATAAAGTTTTCTTATTTCATACATAACCAAGGTGGTAAATTATAAGGAATAAGAACCACAGGCCAAATGCTATATGAGGTTTTTGAATACCGAAATGGCTGAAATCCATCACTAGCAAGTCCAAGTCGGACATTACGAGGATCTGTCGCAAATAAAGGATGAAGTTCATCAAATGACTTCCACGCCATTGAATCAGTTGGGTGCCTCATGATTCCATCATTAACTCTTTTATCTTTATGCCATGTCATTAAAGTTGATGTCTTTGTAGACATAAACAACCTCTGAATCCTAGGCTTTAATGGAAAATAGCGTAAAGTCTTTGATGCTATCTTCTTACCTTTTTTATTCCTTGTTTCCCTGTTATGTCTATCTATTATCCATCTTGACGCACCACAAACTTTGCAAGAATCAAGTAAACTATCCTCCTTCTAGTATACCATGCAATCATTAGTACAAGCATCAATCTTATTGTAAGAAAGGCCAAGGTCTTGAATTATCTTCTTTGCCTCATAATACGATTTTGGCAAATCGGCACCATCAGGTGACAACTCTTCTTTTAACATTTTCAATAACATTGTAAATGACTTATTACTCCAAAGACCCATACTTTTGATGTGAAGTAATTTAATCAAAGAAGAAAGCTTTGAAGCTTTTGAATTTTGGTACAGTGGCTGCTCCAAATCCTTCAATAGCATGTAATATCGTTTTGCTTCAATATTTGGTTCCTCTTCAATTAATTCATCAAAATCAGTGTGCATGGTTCATCCATAAATATTAGGATATAGATCTCCCAACAATTCTTGTACTTCATTTTCATTTTCACATTCTTCTAGTTCATCACCGTCTTCATCTTCTGATTCTGACAGTGGCTCACCTAACTTTTCCCCGTGATGATACCAAAAAGTATAATTTTGAATTATTCCATATACTTTCAAATGTATCTCAACTGTCTTACGATTTCCTAAAATTGTATTACAACATTTGACACATGGGCATCGTATTTCATATTCTTCTCATGTCTTCTGAAAAGCATAATCCAAAAACTTTTGCACTCCGATTAAGTAGGTTTCATCGAGCCAATTATCAACAAGTTGCATCCATTGCTTACTAGGTGTCATAATCTTGGAGAGTAAATAAAAGTAAATTAAATAAAGATAAAAGATAAGAAAAATACTATGATGCACACTACTTGTTATGATCAGATGAACATAACCGATTCAACTCTCTAAGGTCACACTTTCTAGTTGACTCGGCTCCTCTATTTTCAGTGCATACATTACAATATACAATCAGATGACACTTAGATAAATGAATGCCTAGCGAGAAATCCTAAATTTTTCAGCTTTACTACTAACAGGGCCAACTCACTTTTGTTTGCCACGGAAAATGCGCGCATTGATAATGAAACTACTAAAGTCACTGAAAAAATCACAGGGAAAAAAAACATACAATTCTCCACCAATTAAATTAAAAAAACAGAGGAAAGGAAGCATGGATAACTGAAACATAAATATTAAATGAAAAAGAAGGTCATGAGTCAAAGAAAAAGATCAAAGAAAATACAAATATTATTGAATTATCATAACTGAAACATAAATCTTAAATACAAATTGCAATTAATGCGTCTTAATCTCAAACTAGTTTAATTAGCTTTACCAATCCAGAATATCAATTCCACTCCATTTGAACCCCTCCTATTCCAATATTCAGCTAGTTTGGTCCACAATTTAACATAATAGAAAAAAATATGCAGACCCATTAAGAAACAATATAAACTATACACAAATTTAAAGAAGATCAGAAGTAAAACGAAACAAATAAAAACACATAAAGCTCAAAGAATTTTTTATTTTGCTAGATGATAGAATAACAGACACTCATATTTATTTTTTTAACATCTTACAAGTTTCAATTATGTAGCTGAAACCAACATATCAAGCCTTTGAGACCTAATTCCCAACAAATTAAATAAGGCAATAGAAAAACAATTTTAGAATATGAGTAATAGCAATAAATCTTGAAAATTCAACATATAAAAGGCATATAGCACATGTACACAACAGAAAATAAATCAGCATGCTCAACGAAATTTAAGAAAAGTAAACTGCACAAAAATATTCACAATGTCAGTAGTATAAACTTTCAGGAACAACCCAACAATCAGTTTATAGAAGAAATCCCAAACAACAAACTTGAGCAAACAACAGTAAAAATTATAGCAATCCAAATATCCTCAGGATTAATCCCTCACTGAATACATAAAACTAATATGCCATTTATTGAATAATTAACTTTCAAAACTGGTATGCACTTTGAATGAAATAATATTCTTCAGATAATGCACTACAAACTTGAATACACTTCAGAAAATTAAATTATCAAATCAGGAATCCCAACCCAATAATCTTTTCACTGATTATATAAACGAAAAATACCAAATTTTTAATGTTAGAGAAGAAGAAAAAGAAGAAGATCTGCAATCAGTGAAATCAGAATGCATAGAGAAGAAAAAGAGAAACTTGAAAGAGGAGGCATACCTTGGATTCTCAAATAAGGAGATAGAAACTACGGCAAATGATTAGTTGATCGATTTTGCACACGACCAGACGAGCGAGACCGGCTCTAATGCTAACTAGACAGAGATTAGGGAAAAGGATTTTATGCGGTACTATGTTTTGAGAATACAGAGGTTTAATATTTTTTAGAACCTTTTACTTTTTAGTTTTGGCGCCTAATTTTTAGAAAATAATAGTTTTTTAATATTTCGGTATTAGATTTGGCGGCACTATCTCACACTCAAGGCCTCTCAATTATAATTTGGGACCAATTACTATTTTTTTAGAGACCAGATTTATTATCTTCGCAATAAAATAAAGAATTAAGGACCGCAATATAATCTCGTCCTAATACATATATTATTAGCGACGAGATTACTAACTCGTCCCTAAAGGTTGGTCTTAAATAAGCCTTTTTCTTGTATTTTAAGTAGTGGAATCAAGAGAATTTGTTAAGTTAAAAAGCAGAGAGAATGTTCATGTATATTCAATATTGTGTATCAGATGATCTACAAAATGATAAGGACCTCCTTTATATATGAGGGGAAATCCCAATATAGTATAAATGTACTTATTACAAAGATATATGGTTGGTACAGCCATTTAATGCCATGGTACGGGCTTGAACTAGCCAAACTTGGTCAGCCTTAGTCGCATGCCTTGGGAACTACCTGAGGTCGATCTGTACTACCCCGAGGTCGACGTCGATAACCCCTTGGGTGTGAATCTCGACCATAGTCTTGAACCTTTGGAAACATGCTCATAAAGTGTTGTAATGACCGAATATTGGACCCTCCGATTTTACCATATATATATAGTCCCATGTTTCCTAGAATAAAGTGATAGGAAACGGTTTTTAACTCCTACTTCTTAGTCACTGCCATTATGACGTCAGCCTATCAGAGCATTTAATGCCATATTTCAAAAATGCCACGCAAGGGTCGCTATCAACACGACTGTCGAGAAGCTCACAAACCGCTATTGGTTCGTCCTTTCTGCTACCCATATGGCTTCTATAAATGCCTCAATCGTTTAGTGATGCACATTTTTACAACAATCTTCAAACTTTCAGAGATAAAGCCATCACTCTCCACACTATTCTTTCTTCCGCTTTTGGTTTCTCACTTCCTTTCTCAGAAAGACCTTTCCACCACCATGGTTAGAACCTCTAAAATAGTGCCTCGAAAAGAGGGTGCTGCCTCTTCGTCTCGAACATCCAAGGGCAAACCTAAAGTGCCCCCCCACTGTTGAATAGTGTACCCCCACCGAGTTCGATATTGTGAACGACTTTTCTATCGAGTGACCCTCATCTACTTCGGGCCGATGCAAACATGTGTCTTGGTATATTAGGTATATTAGCGTCGTGACAAATATACAAAAGGTGAAGGAAGACTATCAATGGGAGAAAACAGTGCTAGTTGAGATTCCCCATTCTGACGAGAGCATAATGGACCACAAGGCTGGCTTTCTTCACATATATACATACCCATTCACTTTCGGTCTTTTGATTCATCCGATCCTTCTTCCCTGGCGATAGATCCTATTATTCTCGACTTCTGTCATAAGTATCAAGTGATGCTTGGCTAAATTTTTCCATCTTTTTGGAGGATAGTCTATATGATCCGTTATTTCTCCAACATGATCAAGGGTATGAGTTTCACCCTTGATCACTTGATTAGACTATACAGCCCTCATCTTTTTTGAGGTTTGATCAAGCTTCACCCCCGTTCCACGAATCCATTTTTCTCGAGCATTGATGAGAATAAGGATCGGAGATGGATGAGTAGGTTAGTCAAAGTGAGGACCTTGGACATTATCCCAGCCGAATGGATTCCATTCCCGGAGAAGTGGAATACGGAGCGTAAGTGCCTCTCCCTCGAATATGCTTTACTGTCTTCTCACCTTTCTCTCAAAAAATGATCTTCCCCTTGTTTATGCAGCTATCATTTGGTATGCCAAAGCGGTCTAGGACCTACCGAGGTGGATTAGGAAATTGGATACTTCGTTCCCTTATCTCGAGCGTTCTTGGCCCGACTTGGCTAAAATGCGATGACCGCCCAAGAATCACGGTAAGCCTTTCTGTTGTTGCCTCTACCATGTTTCAATATCTCTTTCGAGTTGACAATCTTTGATTATTATGCTTTCGCAGGCCTTGGCGATGGAGTGCTGATGAGACCGCCTCCCGAAAGTGAGGAAGAAGCCCGATAAGGGCAAGAAGAGGAAGAAAAAGGAGGCTGTCGAATCTGCTGTGGCAAAGAAGCCTAAATCACCTAGGCCTTGAGCTGCTTCCAAGGTATCGGCTTCAGCTTCTGGAACAAGTCCTAGTATTAGTGATGAAGACGATGATGATGATAAGTACCGTTTGGTACACAGGGTGAGGTCAGGAACGGATGCCCCGCAGGTGGCTGGGCCAAAAGCCATTGAATCGGGAATGGTCGATTCGGCTTGAGCCTATGTTGTGGAGACCCTCGAGGAGGGTGTGAATGTGGTCCCTGAATCCCTAACTGGATGTGGTACAATCCCTGTTGAGGAAACCGTTGTTGCTGACTCCAAAGGGTCTAGGCTCGGATCTTTTTGGGGACAAGATATGTCCATTGGAGATATCGAAGTCCTGGATGGCCTTAACTTGGGTCCTCGATTCTCACCTGGGGAATACAAGGATACACAGAACACAAATGTTGCCATTGTAGAAGGCCCTCACGAGGGAGAGGTGTGCTTGGAAACTTCCTCGATGGTGTCGATGAGGACATTGATCTTGACGCCCATGATGCTATCGAGAGGGCGGAGAGGCTCCAGCAGCAGGTGATACCCTTTTATGCATACTTTTCACATTTCATGCATTTTTCTTCGTTTTTCTGACTTTTCTATTTTGTTGTAGGCTAAGAATATATATGATTATGCAATCTCTATGCTGCGAGATGAGTTTATATGTCGTGGAAAGGAGGTCGAAATCTCAACTCGGGGTTACAGAAACTGGAGACCTCTTCTGCCCGAAAGGAGGACCTGAGTGAGCTCCGGGCGAGGTTAGATAGAATCTGCCGAGAAAAAGATAACCTTGCTGAGCAGGTAATACCGTATTTGTGAACTTACCCTTTGTCCTTGCAACTTGGTGTTTCATCAATTTCCTTTTTCCCTTGTAGGTCAAGCAAAAGAATGCCCTCGTGGAGCAGCTCCGAGAGGAGGCAGCTGCAAAGAACGCGGAGGTCCTCGATTTAATGGGAAAAAATAGGGTCGTGGCCTCGAAATGGGACTTTCTAAGGATGGAGCTAGTCTCAACTCGGGACCTTCTGCAGAGTACCCAGGAGAAGGTTGCCGTATTATCGTTAGCCAAGTCTGTGCAGAAGAAAAGGCGTCTTCGTATAAGAAAGATGCAACCACTATGAATGAACAAGCTCGGGAGATATTAGTGAAAGCCGAGAAGAAGCTAGTGAAGGTTGAGCAAAAGCTAACTCGGGCCGTTAATTATGCTCGCGCGCAAGCGAGGAGGCAGGCTCTTGAGGAAGCGAGTGATAAGGGTGTCGATCTCTCGGCTGATATCGAGGAAGCCCGAACCTTGGAGGAAGAGTCTGCTTTTTCGGCTACTCCATATGAGGGTTCCGACGGTGGTTCCAAGGGTAGTGGGGGTGAGGAGTAGACTTAGGTCGTCGTTTTTCCTTTTTTGTGCAAGAGCTCCCTGGGGGAAAAGCTTTGTAAATTCTCCCCTGTTGTAAATATTTTTTTGGAAATATAACAATTTCTCTACTTTAATTTTCCGCGTTTCATGTTTTAATGCTTTTGACTTCGAATTTTCATGTTGACTCTTCGGGGCATATACTTGGAGCAGTTGAGGCCTCTGAGATCGGGCACCATCTCAAAATTGGGTCGATCTTTTCTATAGGGTCGATGCCAACAATAGCGATAATTTTCGGAGTCTAATGACTTCCGAGCGTTTGCACGATAGTGCCATTTATATGGCATGGTTGCAAAGTGACCGAGGTGACCCTGCCGGTGTGCTTCCCGAAAAAATGATACTGACATGGCCAGATTCCGTTGGTCCCCAGGTCAGGCGAATAGCCCTCGTCTGCTCTATATATGTACGTGTTTTCCCTTTTGAAGATACTGCCATATTGAGCAACTATCTTCCTCATAGGGTTCTCCTTTCTTGCGTCAATTTCCCTTTACCTCAAAGCTTTCGCCTGAGTCTTTCATTTCCCCTTTCTTTATTTTACCATAGCCATGGCCACTGTGCCCACATTCGCTTGCCAAGGAGAGGAGGGTTCTTCCCTAGTTTCGCACTCGGTCAGTGGTACACCACCGGTATCCGACGAGCTAACATCGAGGTGCTTTGTCTCAAAGAGGGACTTTACGTGAGAGAAACCTCCCAATGTTATGGGCCGTCAGGAGAATGCGTCGAGGTTTATCTCCTCAATAGGTGATGAGCATCTAGAGGCAGTCAGAAAAGACTGTGGATGGGGAGAAGAGGTGGCGTTGCATGCGCCTTCCACGGAAGAGAGCGTTATGGCCCATGTCGAGGGGTTTTTGAATGTATATACATACCCTTTTACATTGGGACTTCTTGATAGGGTCGTACTCGAGTTTTGTAGAAGGTATCAGCTTACCTTGGCGCAGGCTCACCCATCCTTTTGGAAGATAGTGCTGATTATAATGTCCTTTGCGGATAAGGCCGGGCTTGAGCTCACCCTTAGCCATCTCTGTTATAAGATCATCTTGACGTTAACGTATTTACGCTATTTATAACAAGCGATAAATAAGTGTTATGAAGGATAAAGGAGTACATGAATTAAAGAAAACTAGTTTCGTTGAAAGTGGCCAATTTGGGATAAAATACGGGTCGAGCAATGAGAACCGGTAATTATGAACTAGTACCATGAAAGATACCATATGACCACAATTATATAATGTATGAAGTTATATGAAGTATATTAAAAATAAGTTGAATTTTAAGTAATTTGCGGTAATATTTAAATTATACGGGTAATTGGTTAATTATCGGGTAACGAAACATTACCCTGTTAACTAATAAGTGAATAAAAATTAACAAAATTACAACCCAAAAGCAACGTGGCAGCTGGCCACCTTATAAGGATATGACTAAAGTCATTCCTTGATTATGTGTC